CATGGCAAATACACGGTGCTGCAGGTTTGCTCGCCCTGACCCTCATCATCATTCCCAATTAGCACCTTTCATGATAGCATCTCTTGCTCCTCTGTGGGGCACGCCAGCTTCATCTCGTGGGAGCAGGGGTGCCCCTTCCGCAGTCCTTCCTCCCTCTTGCGATGGCCCGCACAGCGGGAGCTGGAGGACCGGCAGAGGGTGTGGATGTGCCACCATCTCAAACCTGCCCTGTGGTTTGAGGTTTAACGCAGCCTTGAGGGTGAAGACATGGAGCTAACAGTGTATTTGGGGGGGCTGGGACTTCCTCCCCACTCCCGTGGGCATTGACATCCAAACCGCGGTGGCCAAGGCTTTCAAATCTATCTAATGATTTTGGATCGCCAGCTTCAGATAAGGCAAATTGGAGACAGTGCTGAGCACTTCTGGAAAACCAGACCTCTTAAATTGGTTACTTTAGGGTTTACTTTTGATTTACACAGCCTGTACCTCTGTTTTCTTATCAGTAACACTCCCTTACCTCTTGAGGTTTGCTTGGGGAATGTGTGAAGTTTGCATCCAGACTGTCAGGCTGAAGGATTGCAGCATATCACAGGATAAACATAGTTTTGTATTCAGTTTGATGGATTATTTTGTCCATTTTAAAGTAACCTTCATTACTAGCGGAGAGTATTAGGTTAAATAGCTCTGGATGCTGCAGTTTCGTGCTGTACTTTTAGACCAAGTTTCATGGTTTTAGGTGAGGCTGACACAAATCTGACATTTGAGACCTCAGAGCATCGGACCATAAAAGCAAAAGACACAGCGGATCCTGGAGGCATGGTACGGGCTGACAGACTGAAATAAGTGTCATTTTCTCTGGCCAGATTCCCAGGGTAGTCAGTGTGCTGGGTGGGAAGGTGGCGAGAAAGCCCTTGACCCTTGGGGCACGCGGGCCATCCCACCATCTCCCCGTTTCCAGGCCAGGCTTGCCAGGGTGGTACCTCTGCGGGCTTGAGATGAGAGACCAGGGTGGTCCTGGAGCAGAATACCCTGTGGTGGCAATTTCATGGGCAATTTCATAAAGCTACAGTAAAAGCACGTTGCATCCGTGATGGTGGCTTGCTGGTTTTCACCCCAAGGAGTGAGGGGTGGCTCTTTGCCATCCACAATAGCCGTGAAGTGGGTTTAACCTTGTCCCATCCTCAGTCCCTACTGAAGTCAAGCAACTTAAAAGACCGTTAAAACCTTAAGGGGTGGGTCCCTTCACCTCTGCCTTGCAGAATTAGGTGTCTCTGTGTTACAATGTGCCGGGTCCCAGACCTCGGTGTCTCTGCCTCGCAGCATTTGGAAGCTCCTGGGTTGTGCAGGAAACATCGGGAACGCTCAATACCCGAGGAATGAGGCTGTGCTTTGCAGATTTCTGCCTTTCCCGGCAGAAAAGGTGGGCTGACCGCTCAGCCCCGCTGCAGAGCAAGCGGCAACGGGGAGGGACCCCCTCTCCTAACGCGGCGGCAGTGTTTCTCCTTGCAGGTGGTGGTACTCCTGGAAGTCCTGAGCTGGGGTCGGCTGGAAGATGACCGAATATAAGCTGGTGGTGGTGGGAGCCGGTGGTGTCGGGAAGAGTGCTTTGACCATACAGCTCATTCAGAACCATTTCGTTGATGAGTATGACCCCACGATAGAGGTAAGCGGCTCTGGGCATGGGGTCTGTCTGTCTGCGTGTTTTTCTCTTGCTCTTCTCCACCTTGCCTCCAACCCAGAGCATGCTCGGCTTGGTCTCAAGTCTGAACTTGAGCAGGGATGTTCCTCTGCTTCGCAGAGCTATTCTGAGTCGCCACGTGCGTGTTCGGAGGTCACAGTGACAGGCTTGTGCCTCCCGCAGAAGGACAGCGGTGTCTGCGGAAGAGAGACGACGATGGAGGCAGCAGAAACGGGCAGAGGGGGAGGCAGCAGAAGCGGGCAAAGCCAGGCAGGGGCTGAGAGGCAGCACAAAAGCTCTCCTTTCTGGTGAGACAGCAGCATAGGGAGGGGTTAAAAGTTTGGGATTGAAGAGCCATTTTGTGCCTGTGCTTCCATTTCTCCTCCTGTGAAATCAGAGTAAATATATTGACTTCTCGTGCAGGCTGTTTTGAGATTTACTGATGAAATGGGCTTTATCAGAGCTTGGTTGTATTATGTATGTCCTGCAGTTTGAGCAGTGCCGAGCAGCTGACCCATTGTGGTTCCCAGAGTGCTGCCTCTGCTCCGTTGCAAGGAGTTAAAGGTTGATGTATGGGTCTCGTAGTCAGAGTGGATGGTAGCACTGGCCTGTCTAGCTCAGCACCCTGCCTGGAGAAGCAGGCAGGGACCCTATGCTCCTCCAGGCTGTGCAGAGCAGGGGTCTGGTCTTCAATATCCATTACACTTTTTTTTTTCCCCCCACTTTTTAAAAACATACTCCATTCTCCGACTGCTTTCAACATTGCTAGCGAGATGCAAATTACCCCCTGCATGACGTACGACTTCATTTGGGGGAGATGTGGGCAGCAGCCACTGCTCTGCACGAGGAGTAAGTCCGCCCTGGGAAGGCAAATTACAGCTCTGTCATGTCTCTTGGACAACAACCTCCCTGTCTGCAGTCCTAAAGGATTCTCTACCAGATGTGTATAAATGCAGCTGTGGTTGCTGCAGCTATTATTATTACTATTATTATCATAATGGCTAAAAGGCCCCAGCTGGGATCAGAAATCCATTCTGGTAGGTGTTGTATGTGTAGTCCCCACCCTGAAGAGCTTACAACTTAAATAAACAAGCAAGACAAGGCTTGGTAGAAAGGCAGAAGTAGTCTCACAATCCTACAGATGGGAAGGAGAGAAAGCATTTAAAAGCACGTGCTATTACGTCATTTGGCCAAGGTCACCTAGAAAGTCCGCGGCAGAGAGTGGAATTTAATTTAAGGGCTCCCGAGTCTCGGTGCTGCACCTTGCTTATGGATGCAGTTGCCTTCTTCCCCAGCTCCTCTCCTCTCATGTGCTCGTCATCAGTAGCATCGTATGCTTTTCTTAGAAACCCGTTCCAGGTTGTTTTCAGCAAAAGAGCTGCTGATGGAGAGCAATCTCCCTGGGAAGACATCTGCATGGATGGGTCCTCTCTTGGACCTTAGGGTGGGCAGAGGCGGTTCTGACCCAGTGGTGTGTTGGGTTTTGGCATCCTATTTTTTTTGTCTCCAGCTGCCTGTCCCCTGTATGTACCCTGCAGGGAATTTTCTCCATGTAAACAGGCAGCGGGGAATGTAAACCTTGCATGGCATTTCCCAGCACACCCTCCTCGCCCTGCCCGCTCCTGCCATGCCCCCGGAGACGCCTACTCTCTTCCCTTGCTCGCCCCATCCCCGTTCTAC